AATATTATATTACCTAATACTCATTCCCTGAGCATCATCACAACATTCTAAATGTAGTTTCCCATCTAGGACAAACTACATAGTGAGTTAATCAAGCATGTTATCATCAATAATATTCCATTTCTACTTTCATACAATGTATACATACATACATGTTTTTTGTCCTATCTTTGACCCTCTGCCCTTTCCCCCTCTCCCATTACACTATCTCTGCTATATACAGTTGTCTTCCAGGGGAACCATTGAAAATGAGTATCACGCTTTTCTAGGGCCAGCCAATGGCATGTTGCTTAAGGTGGCTGGATCCTACACGGTTTGAATACTGGACCTGGCTGCTTGAGAAACATGCCGAGCACGTGTGCATGCATGCCAGAATCCTGAGAGGAGAGTGGAGAATGGGAACTGCAGTGTGGCCATCACCTTCCAGGGGGTACTTTGTCACTGTCCTCCTTCCTCTCTCTCTAGCAAGCATATACACCCTATAGCAGATTGAGAAAAAAAAATCACATTTTTTCCCTATTTACTATGTTAGTATGACTCACTGCATCAGTAAGATTGCCTTACATCAAATCATTATAAAATATTTTATGTCAACCCTTTTTTAAAATTTTTTTTCCCTTGAAAGGTTTTTTGTTTGTTTGTTTGTTTTGGAGAGGTTTTCGCTATAGGGCGCGTGTGCTCCCCAGAAAGGCAGAGAGAAAAACAGAACATGAGAAATCACTCCCCAGGGGAGATGGCCACACCACAATCCCTTCTTCATTCTCCTTTCAGGATCTTGGGCACGCACCAACACGCACCCAGCATACACCGGGTTCAGGACTCTAACCATGGTCGACTACATGGGAGACTAGTAAAGTAGCCTTTCCACCAACTGCTGGTCCCGCCCCTTTTTTTTTTAAAGAGAGATTTTTGCTATAGGGCACATGCACTCACCAGAGAGAGAGAAAGTGAAAAATCACCCCCTATGGGAATGGCCACACTGCAGTCCCTTCTCCAGTTTCCTCCTGGCATCTTGGGTATGCATGCACATGCTCCTGGCATGAATTTGAAGCCACTAGGTTGGGGACTCGAACCATGGTTGACTATGTGGGAGTCCAGCAGCATACCCATTACACCATCTGCTGGTCCCATCAACCCTTACTTGATTGTAACAAATTAGTTCTGCAATTTGTAAACTGTTCTTTTGATTATTTTCATGTTATTGAATCCTTTTTACTAGTGATTTGAGTTATTGCATGTCAATATGTGAATGAGAGTTATTTATGGTTTATTTTCCCAAGTACACTGGCCTAAAGTATGTAGAAGGAAATGTAATGTGTGGGGTTAGAAACCACATCTTAAAAAGCACAGTGGTGGGGCCAGCAGAGGGTGTAGTGGTTCCATTGCTGAACTCGCACATGGTTGACCATGGTACAAGTCCTGGGCCCGGTGGTCTGAAAAATCACACTGAACACGTGCACGAGTGTCTGAGGTCTGTGGAGTAGAAGGGATTATAGCGTGGCCATTCTCACTTTCCCTCTGACTCCTTTCTTTTTCTGGCAAGTGCATGCACCCTATGGCAAAGAAAACTCTTTAAAAAAAGGAAAGAAGCACAGTGTGGGGGGGTCTACAGGTGTCATGGAGGTTAAGGCTCTAGATCCTACATGGCCAACTCCATAGTTTGAGTCCCAACCTGGTTGCTTGAGAATCACCTCCAGTGCACGTGCGTGTGTGTGTGTGCCTAAAATCTCCAAAGGAAATAGAGGAGATGGGATTGAAGCACGGCCATCCTTCCCCCTACCCCCGGGGGTGATTTCTCATTTTGTCTCCTTTCTCTCTCTCTCTCTATTTCTTTCTCTCTCTCTCTGGCAAGTGAACATACTCTATTACAAAAACACTTTCAAAATAAATAAACTAGTAACAACAACCAAAAAAACGCACAGTGAGACAAAAGGATACATAATAGGCACTGAAAACAGTTTTAATAAACTAGAACTTCTTAGAAGGAAAAAATCCATAATAGACCAAGATATCTTAGTCTATTTGTACACATCTTAGTTTTCCTTTTCTTTTAGATTGAAGAGCAGTCAGACTGTAAGATCCTAGATGGACACTTTGTTTCCCCCATGGCCCATTATGTGCCCGGTATCATGCCAATTGAATCTGTTATTGCAAGGTAAGAAGTTTTGGTCAGAACATTAAATTAGTAAATTGTTTATGTTCATTAAAATTATAATATCAACACCATGTTATTTTAAATTACTTAGCAATAATGAGACAGGTCTAAATTATTGAAAAGCCTGAATTAGGGGGGAGCATGTGGCGTGGTGGTCAAGGCACTGGACTCCCACATAGTTGACTCTGGTTCGAGTCCCAGACCTGGTGGCTTGCTTTCTCACTTTCCCTCTCTCTTTCTCTTGGTCTCTCTCTAGTGAGTGCATGTGCCCTATAGCAAATTAAATAATAATGATAAATTAAATAAATATTTATTTAAAAGGAAAAAAGGCTGAATTAGAAGATATTTTTATTTATAATGTAGTATATCTACAAGGATGTTCACTGAAGCATTGTTTACAGTTGCAAAAAAATATTAAGATACTGAACTCCTACATGGCCGGCTGCGGTTCAAGTCCTGGTCCTGGCTATTTGTTTTCTCGTTCTCTCTCGCAGATGAGTGCATATGCCCTGTAGCAAATTTAATAATAAATAATAAAATTAAATGGATTCTTTTTTATTTTTAAATACATGATTCCATTTATGTAAACATATAAGCTTGTACATATAATCACACAAAAGTTTTCCAGTGGATATAGACAGACATGCCAACCTTAATTATCTCTGAGTGGAGAGATTTTTGGCTAAAGGGAAGGAAAAGGGGGCCAGCAAGTGGTGTAGTGGTTAAGGAGCTGGAATTCCCCTATGGCCAACTATGGTTCAAGTCCTGGACCCTGCAACTTGAAAATCATGCCAGGCGCATGTGCATGTATGCCCAAAATCCCAAGAGGAGGATGGAAGAAGATAGATTGTAGTATGGCCATCTCTCCTGGGGGGTGATTTCCCACTTTCCCTGTCTCTGTCTCTTGGCGAACACATGTGTCATATGGCAAAAACCTTAAAAAAAAAGAAAGAAAAGAAAAGAAAAAGAAAAAAGGTGGAGAAAAAGGTGGAGGACCAGCAGGTCCTGTGGTGATTAAGGTGCTGGATTCCCACATAGCCAACCATGGCTCAAGTCATGGAGTTGGCAGCTTAAAAATCATAACTGTCATATTCGTATGAATGTCCAAAATCTGGAGATGAGAAGGAGGAGAGGGGATTGCGGTGTGGCCTTTTCCCTGGGGGGCAATTTTTCACTTTTTTTTCCCTCTATGTCTTTGACTATCTCTGGTGAACACATGCATCCTATGGCAGAAACCTTTAAAAATATTTTGTCTTTTTTTGTGTGTGTTCTCCCCACACCCCACTATAAGAAGAATCAAAAAAATGTTTTTAATCAAAAGAAAAAATAAGTAGTAACTTAGACTAGATATAATACATAGACTAGATAAAGTTCCTTGGGATGGTTTGTAATTATAACAGTTTGTGAATATGAATGGATATTCTAAAATATTTGAGGATTTTTTTAAAGGAATTAATTTTATTTATTCTCATTATTTTATTTTTAAAAATTAGACCAGAGGGAGACAGAGAGAAGGAAAGTGAGTAAACAAGCTGCCAGGTCTGGGACTTGAACCGTGGTCAGCCATGTGGGAGTCCAGCACCTTAACCACCACTTCCCTTGCTAGTCCCAATATCTGAGGTTTTTAACTAGTTCATTATGCAATAATTGAGACATGGCTTTTATAGATAGTTAAAAAACCTTTAATTTGCTTTGTCAAAACATTTATTATCAATGGTAAGTTCAGAGTTCAGTTCCAGCCCCATCCTGTTAATGAGTTTTTAACATTGTAATTCTGAGTCAGTTTTGAAACTAGGTCTTTCCATGTTTTTTTATTTTGTATTTCACCTAATTCTGTGTATTTAGAAGTAACAAGGTATTTTACTTCTTCTGCACTGTTGATAATAAACCATTTGCTGCTCTAGTAAGTGATTTCTCCTTTAAAGACTAGTTTGCAGTAGCAACGTTACATAGCAGTGATACATATATGTGCATGTGGAGAATTTTTCAGTCAGCAGTACGCCACCTGCTGGCTCCAACAGACCTGATTTTTAACTGCTGTAGTCAGATGTCTATTTTATTATCCCTAAGGTACTATTTAAGCTTCATGTCTTCTGGGCCCCACAGATGGTGTAGCAATTATGATGCTGGATTCCCATGTGGCTGACCACAATTTGAGTCCCAGACCTGGTGGCTTGAAAATCACACAGCGTGCATACATGCATGCCCAAGATCCCAGGAGTAGAATGGAGAAGAAGGGATTGCGACATGGCCATCCCTCCTGGGGGCTGATTTCTCTCCTCCTCTTCTATTAGTGGCATGAAAGTGAAAGGAAAACAGTATCATGTAGTGCAGAGAACCAGAACTTTGGAATTGAGCAGATCTATGTGTAAACTCTAAGTACCCTATTTATTGACCTAACAACCTATGGTTAATATCTTTCTTTTTCCTTTTTTTCTTTATTGATGTAGTCATATACCACTAGCTTCTTTTATTTTTAAATAATTTTATTTATTTATTTGCATACATACATACATATGTGTGTGTGTGTGTTTGACCCGAAGAGACAGAGAGAGTGAGAAAATAAGCCACCAGGTCCAGTACTTGAATTGCAGTCAACCACATGGGAATCCAGCACCCTTAACTACCACACCACCTGCCGGCCCCCCTATGGTCATTAAACCAAGGAATCACACTTACCTCATAGGGTCGATAAAAATAATAAATGAAATGAGTACTGAAAATTTGGTGCAGTAAATATGAAAAGCTTTAAGTAAATGAGTAAATCTTTTAATTGTGCTTTGTCTTACTAACGCTTTATAAAAAGCTGTAAATAAATGTGTAACTCTTTAGCCTACAGACTGAAGAAAGTAGAAGGAAAAGAAAGTTGTTAGATATCATCAGTTCAAGCCCTTGGCATTTTGTCCCCTTCTTGTAGATTCTCCGCCTAATCTGAAAAGTTGCCCAAGTGATACACACGAGGAAGGAGGAGAAATTGTGTGCTTTGACTCAGTTTAAGAAATAATCCTCACCACTTATTGGGAATCGAGGAAGAGTTTTTTCCAATTGATGCCAGGAATGGGGAAACAAATTACTTTCTATCTCTTCAGTGGCATATTTTTACAGCATAACTTATTTTGACAAAATACTGTAAATTCTAAAGTGATTTGTATTGACATCTGTTTTTCCTTATAATTTTTGGGTAGCAATTTATATCATTGTATTAAAGTATCGTGTTGGGACCAGTAGATGGTGTATGGTTACATCGCTGGACTCCCATGTAGTCAACTGAGGTTCAAGTACCGGAACCCAGTGGCTTAAAACTCAGGGCGAGTGCGTTTATGTGCATGCCACAATTCCAAGAGAAGACTGGAGGAGAAGGAATTGTGGCATGGCATCCCCCTCTGGGGGATGATTTCTGTCTGCCTCTCTCTCTTTGGCAAGTGAACGTGCCCTATAGCAAAAATCTCTTTCTAAAACAATACATACACACACACACACACACACACACACACACTCACACGGTTGTCAGAAAAGTCATGGCAGGGACCAGCAGTTAGCGAAATGGCTATGTCGTTGGACTCCCACGTAGTCGACTGCGGTTCGCATCCCGGACCCGGTGGCTTAAACTCACGCCGGGCACGTGTGCGTGCGTGCCCAAGATCCCAAGAGGAGAATGGAGGAGAAGGGATTGCGGCGTGGACATCCCCCCTGGGGGGTGATTTCTCGCTTTCTGTCTCTCTTTGTCTGTCTGGCGAGTGCACGCGCCCTATAGCAAAAGCCTCTCCCCCCCAAAAAAAGAAAAGAAAAGAAAAGAAAAAAAGTCATGTCACATTTTTGCAACAGATGGCACTAGTACATTTTTGTAAGTGCCAGAGTCTTTTACATCTATGTTACTGCTGTGTCATGTGACAACTGACAGTTATATTTTATTCTAAAATAAAATTAAGCAATTCGGTTGAGTTTTAGAGATTTTATAAGTTGGAGATGGAAGGCCAAAGTGTTGCATTTTTGCCACATTTTTACTGTTTTACTTCCATAAAGGGAAAAACGCACCTCAAGCTGGCGAAAAGTTGTGTAATTTGTGGTGACAATGCTCTGCAAGAACATCAGCGCCAACAATGGTTCACAAAATTCTGCCACTGGACTCCCATGTAGTCGACTGCGGTTCGCATCCCAGACCCGATGGCTTAAAACTCACGCCGGGCACGTGTGCGTGCGTGCCCAAGATCCCGAGAGGAGAAGGGATTGTGGCGTGACCATCCCCCCTGGGAGGTGATTTCTCGCTTTCTGTCTCTATGTCTTTCTGTCTGTTTGGCGAGCACACGCACCCTATATCGAAAACCTCTCCCCCCCAAAAAAATTCTGTGCTGGTGATTTTTTACCTCAACAACACTCCTCAGTCAGGGAGGCCACCAAGGTAATGACGACAAGATAAAAGCAGTATTGAGTCAAACCCATGAACCCATGTTACACCACACGAGAGATTGCAGAAGCATTAAACATCTATCATTCAAGCATTCATGACCACCTGAAGAAGCTGGGATATGTAAGCAAGCTCAATATTCGGGTTCCTTGTGAACTCGAAGTTCATCAGCCATGTGTATAAACATCTGCGATATGCTCAGTAAACAGAGGAAGATGATCCTTTTTTGAAGCAACAGATAAGTGGTGATGAGAAGTGGATTGTATCCAGCAGTGTGATGTGCGGATGGTCTTGGTCCTGATGCGATGATTCACCTCAGATGACATCGAAAGCAGACATTCATCGGAGGAATGTTATGCTCTCAGTGTGGAATGTTAAAAGTGTGTTTTTTGAGGTCCTCCCAAGGAACCAAACCATCCATTCAAATGTGTACTGTTGAGAATTGGACAGTTTAAATGAATCCATCAACCAGAAACGTCCAGAGCTCAGTAACCGATTGTACCAAGTTGTGCTCCATCACAACAGCGCCACACACAGGTTTGATCACCCGTCAACAATGATGGGCGCTTGGATGGGATGTGTTACCATTCTCGCC